GGCAGTGTCACTGGCCCTCATATGTGGGATCCGAACCGGGGCCCTCTGGCATCCCAAGCGAGTTCTTAACCACCGCGCCACTCGGCCGGCCCGGGGAGCAGATTTTTAAGTGAAATATTCTACATCACTGGGGAGAACTTTAAAAATATTTTATTATGGAAAATTTCAAACATACAAAAGTAGAGAGAGTAACTTCAATAGCTATTAGCTCATTGCTAACATTGTTTTATCTATACTCCCACCCATTTTCCTCTCACTCGGATGTATATATATATTTTTTTGGAACCAAATCCCAGACATATCACTAACAAATCTTTCAGTATGGATCTCTAAAAGAAGGATCTTTTTAAAAAAACAAAGCCCAATTATAATATACTTTCTTGAACTAAACAACTATATATAGTCAGTATTCAAATTTTCCTGATTTTCTCAAATGTGTTTTTTGAAAAAGATTCTTCAAATCAGAATTCATTTGTTTCATTTACTGCAGTTGGCTAATATGTCTCTTGAGTCTCTAAAATCTATAGTTCTTGATCCATTATTTTAAAACATTTCCACTTGCAGTTTGCTGAATACATCACTTTAATTGAAAGCATCATTATTTTAATTTAACCCCTTTATTGATAAACATTTTATTCCAATTTCTTGTCACCCTAAACTTAGCTCTGCTTTATCTTTATGGCTAGATATTTGAGTACATCCTTAATTATTTCCTTAGGATGAATTCCTATTAGTGAATTCCTAATAGGTTCACAATGGGTGGGTATATTTTTGCAGCTTGTTCAATGAGTCCATTATTAGGTACTGGGGATATTAAAAAGGTAGAAACACCTCCTGTTCTCTTGGGGGTTTTGTCTTTTTGCAACAGAAAAAGATGGGACTGGGTAATTTATAGGTGGTCTTGTGGGATTGTTGAGGATGGTGCCTCAGCCAGACACTGGATGGATTGGTATTTAGAGACCACTCATCAAGGCAGTGACATCTAAGCCAAGGCCTGAAGCAGAAGGAGAGGTTGGCTGGGTGAAAGTCTAGGGCAGTGCTTTTCAAACTTTGGTCCCTGAAACAATCACCATTAAGGCTCGGGCTCATTGAAAATATTAATAAATAGGGTGTGAGCCTTTATGTTTTTACCAAGCTCCCTAGGTGCTTCTAATGCCAACCAAAATTTGAGAACCCCTGTATCAGGGAGAAACATTCATTTGGCTAAGAGAGTGACCTGAGAGCCCTCTTAGAGGTTAGAAAGAGTTTAGTATGGCTAAAGGGCCCTTCAGTTTGTTCAGTTAGTGCGAAACAAACCCTCATCTGCTGTGAAGGACTGTGCCTGTTTCTCTCTGTCCTTGATAATATTGGGTAGTTGTCAATAAAAAATAAATTGACAATCTATCCAACATTACAGATGTAGAAATTACACAATAGGAAAAACCAATTACCTTAAATCTCTGGTCAGAAGTCAGGGAATTTGGCCAAAGTTAAAGTTGGAACTGATGGGTTATTGTGCTCACCAAAATTCTTTGTCCATTTAGCCATGTTATTTGTTATACACCCAGATGTACTATTTTAATCTGAGAAAATAGCATGTATCACCATCTGACACACTACATACTTTTTCTCACTTGGCTGTTTTCCCCTGCTAGAATGTAAACTCCATGAGGGCAAGGCTTCTCGTTTTGCACTGCTGTTTCCTCAGGTTTAGCATGTAGTAGTCACTTGATACCTACTTAATAACTGGCTACCTTCAACTCACTCAAGCTTCTAGTCAACAGTATACTTAAGGAAGCTGCAAAATTAATTTTTCCTTATGGTGAAAGAATTGGTAATGAAGAAGCCAGAGATAGGACCAACCTCTTGAGTGTCTTCCTGCATCTACTGATTTTCTATGTAAAATTTAAATTATCTTGTTCATTTCTTATCCATAAATTTCAGGAGTAATGAGGTCTTATAAAGGCCTGAAGAATAAAATATTTGTTGAATAAATTCTAGAGTAAGTGGCAGAAGAAAAAGCCGCCTTAGTAATGGTGTAGGTCAGGGGACTAAAAGGCACAATTAAAGAATTATTTCTTATTAGTGAACAATGATTAGAATATAATAATACAGCTGTAGCACACTGCTGTGGGGATTCTGTGGAACATTTAAAGAAGTCCTAATGGAGATTTGGGGTTTAATCTTTGTAAATACCCCAACAAAGCTATGGTTGCTAAATTATATTTTGGTATTTGTTGAATATTTAGACTTTTTTTAGAACTTCGTGTTTCTAGCATAGTTTATATTTGTTTATGTGTTAGGTACTGTTGTAACTGCTTTTTAATCTATTGTCTCTCATAACACTGTGATGCATAGGTACTAGTATTAGCCCCATTTTACATATGGGTGTAATTGAGCTCAGAGAGCTTAAGTAACTTGCTTGATGTCTGTCAACTTGTAGTGGCAGAGTGGACTTCCAGTCTGGAAGTCCAGCTCTCTTAACTTGCTCTTAACCAGCTCTTAAGAGAGCTTGCTCTCAACCACAGTGCCATCTGCTGAAGGCTGTGGTACAATATACACAACTCAGAGCTCAAATTGCTGCTTTCAGTGCTAATCTTGGCTAAAAGCTTGAGCTTTGGAAGCAGTGAGACTTGGGTTAGGATCCTGGCTCTATTACTTACTAGCCAACTAGATTTGGGCTATTTACTTCTCTGAATCTCAATCTCCTCAATTGTACAGTGCAAACATTACCTTGTAGAGTTGTGAGGATTACATGAACCAGAGTAGGAGCCTGACTCAACAGAGGTAATTCTGCTGTTGATTTTTTTAAGATGAGCAGTATGCATTGAAATTGTTGCCAAGCCTGTTTCAGAGGTCCAATATTTCACAGAAAAGTATTGCTCCAGTTAAAAAGAACAAGAGTTAAAAATGAGATGAATTGTGGTCTTGGAACCACACTTTGAGAAATAATGGCATGGCCACAATAAACTGGTGTGAGATAATTCGTGCATGCACTTATTTGTGCATGCACTTTCACCTCCACCTCTCAAGCATGCAGACCATTTGTACGTGTTTACTTACACACTACTGTGTATGATCAGTCCTTAGGAGATTGAAGTTAATGAATTTCTATGTCGTTGGCAATGTCTAACTGTCCAGGGTCAAAACTGCCACTGTGTGTGACCTTGGAGAAGTTACCTCAATGTGCCTTAGTTAGAATTTGCATAACTACCTGGGACATATTAAGGCTCTTTAAGTATTAAAGTTTGTTAAAAAAAAAATTAGTATCACAATCTCTGGTATTATTCCTTTGGGTTTCTGAACTAACCCGCAGTTTTGGGCTGCGGGGTCCCCCTGCTGGCCACATCCTTTAGATGCCTCTGGTCAGCTTCAGAGGTGCCAAGTGGGGTGGGTGCGATTTCCAGAAGTATCAACCTTACTGTGAATGGGAAAGGAACTTGCTAGTTTAAATTCCCCAGCCCGAGCTAGTCTCCAAGATGTGAAGGGAGTCAGAGAGAGGACTTAAGGCCTCTAAGAAATTGGGGTGGGATGGGGACAGGTATAGAGAAAAATTTTTTCTCTTTGTCGGTCCGGTTTAGTGTTTTTGCTAACCGAAGGTTCTTGCGTTGGGGCGCCTCAGTTCCTTTCAAGGCTCAGCTTCGATTCTAGCGTCTGGGGCTGGGCACTTAAGAGAGCCAGTTTTCACAGATCTTATAGCCTGCTGGCCTTCTCTGCATCCGTGTCCTTACCCACTGCTTAGACCACGCTGGGCAGGCTACTGCAGACGCCGGGTCTATCCCGGTTCTAATCCCTGTGAACCTAGGACCCAGCAGCTGCTGGGCAGTCCTGGCCACACCTCTCCGCGCATCAGCGCCCGCGGATAGGCTCTGCGCAGCGAGGCTCCGCCTCCGCTATGGCCGCCGCCCGCTGCCGGTGCTACTAAGTGGCTGTCTGGGTACCCGGTCTTGGCGTACCTTCTCTGGCGGCTAGGTCTCCCGGTCCGTGGCGCATGGGTCTCCTCCGAGGCGGGCTCCCATGCGCTCGGGCCATGGCGCGCCTGGGTGCTGTGCGCTCCCACTACTGCGCGCTGCTGCTGGCCGCGGCGCTTGCGGTCTGTGCCTTCTACTACCTAGGCTCGGGCCGGGAGACCTTCTCCAGCGCCACCAAGAGGCTGAAGGAGGCCCGCGCCGGGGTCCCCGCCGCGCCCTCGCCACCCGCGCCGGAACTGGCACGCGGTTCCTTGGCGCCGATGCTGGGTGCCAAGGCCAAGAGCCTGGAGGTCGGTGGGACGGTGCCGGTGGACTACCACCTGCTGATGATGTTCACCAAGGCGGAACACAATGCCGCGCTGCAGGCCAAGGCCCGCGTCGCGCTCCGCTCCCTGCTGCGTCTCGCCAAGTTCGAAGCTCACGAGGTGCTTAATCTGCACTTCGTGAGCGAGGAGGCCAGCCGCGAGGTGGCCAAGGCCCTGTTGCGGGAGCTGCTGCCGCCTGCCGCCGGCTTCAAGTGCAAGGTGAGTGGGGCCGCAGCTGGGGGCTCCGGGCCGGTGTCCCATCCCATCCCCAGCCCCATCCACCAGGCTCCAGAGGCCAGGAAAGGGGTGTCTTTGTTACGCTGTCCGCTGCCAACGCCTGTAGAAACCTAACCCTTCACGCCCCCTCTCGTCCCGTGCCCAAAATGTGCTTTCACAGCGTGCTGGAGGCATCGTCCCGGGGTGTGTCCGCGAACCAGACACAGTCAGCTGGTGCAGGAGTGGAGCCTCGGTGTTAACTGACAACCCTGACCAGATCTCCCCCCACTAACTGCGGCCCCCTGGAGAATCAGCACGTCCCCCTCCCTTTGCTAACGTTGCAGGATTCAGCAGTACCTTCAGAGTCTGCACCTCTTTTTATTCTCCCCAGTCTTTGACTTTTGAGGATGAAGCAGGTCATTTGAAGGCACAGATAGTCATCCTGTGCAGAGTCTGCTGGACAGGGTCTTACGTGAGGCCGTTTGAATTGAAATTGCAGCGATACTTAGTTTTTAAGGTGTTTCATTCAGAACTGGTCAAAGCCCAAACCCCAGCCAGTGTGAACTCTCTCATCCTGTCTCTGAGCTCCCTTCTCTCCTACCCCCAAGGGCCATGAACTCATTTAGAGAAGCTGAGGGTGCCTCCAAAGGAGGAAGAGAAAGCTGTATGAAGTATGATCTGGGGAGAGCAGAGCAGAGCTAGCCACCTTGTTCTGAGGTGGAGCAACCTGCCTCGGTGGCAGCTCCCACCTCTGCCCATCATCTCGGAGATTGGGTTCCTGGCTTAGTGTTAATTGCCTCAGTCAAATTGCTGGCATCACTTGACCTAATAGTTGTGCAGAGGGGATCCAAGGTATGGTTTTTGGATGGGAGTCGTAGGTGATCTGAAAGGATGGAGACTGATGGTGGTGGTGGGGAGTGGTGGAGAGAAAAGAGTACTGTTCCGCGTGTTCATGCCCAGTTAAGTTACTAAGGGAAGCCGCTGCCAGGATCCTACAGGTTCACGCGTCTGCCTGGCTTTTGGTTCCTACAGAAGCAAGTGGCAGTTTCTTGGTAGGGCTGCCTGTGTTGCGGGCCTGGCCTTCCTCTCCAGCTTCACGTCTTATCCTTCCATGTACTTTAGATCTTAACTGTACTGAATGTGTACAAGCTGTACTCTCTGCCCAGAAGGTCCTTTCTTTCCTCCTGAGCCCTTGGTCACTCTTCACTTAGCTTTCTCATCCCCTGAGAGTATCCCTAGACTTGGAGACAGTCCAGGTCCAGCCTCCACAGCTCCATTATTGCTTCCCCTTATAGCATCAAAGGCCTGTCCTCTGCCCATCAGGAACACCCACCATACTCAGAGATGGTCACCCACGCCTGGGCTTCATGCTGTAGGAGGCCAAGACTCCAGGCCTGGAGTTTGGGGTTGGAGGGGCCCTTGGGACCCACTGTCACACCTGAGGTTTTTCAACCTGGGGCCCATCCTCATTTACTTAATTGGAATCTTCTGACTGGAAGTGGGGCCTGGCAACCTGTACCTGGTGATCCATTGGAGAAAGCCGACGGCCCTTGGTCATAGCGACAGCCTGGGCAGAGCTGTGATTTGACTGCCTCTCCAGATACCACCCTGAAGACCAGCACTGTTACTGTCACCTGTTCATTTTCTGAGTCAGAGGTAGCAACTCAGGCCTACGCTACACCATTGCCAGATCGCTGCCATTCCTTATCCCGGGCTCCAGCCACAGCGTGTTGCACACCCAGTGCTTTCCAGCCTATCTGTGTTTGCTTATGTCAGTCCACTGTCAGAATACCTTCTCTCTCCATTTCCAAGTATTCCCTATCTTCAGATACCATCGCCTCCTTGGAGCTGTCCAAGGAACGTCCACTTGAAAGGCTTGTCTTCCTTTTCCTCCCTCATGTACCTTCCTGGTGCTGTGACTATATTGTGTCTTATCTCCCATCCCTCTGCATAATGACTGGCACATAGTCGGTCCCAGAAATCTTGGTCCAAGGCAGGTCTAGCCTCAGGGCCAGGTTCCCATCTAGGAGTCTGTGTTTCACGTGTTTATCTCCCTCTGCTGGGCCCAGTGCTGACCGCCATAGCCATTATCCAAGACCTGGAGGCAGCTGCAAATGACATGAAGGAATTGACACCACTTTGTTGAGACACGAGGGGTGAGATTTTTGGGGGGCTTCTAGCCAGATGGCTGGGATCCGATTAGGGTTGATCAATTCCAGCAGAAAATTGCCCTTATTACTTTGGCGTTCATATTTATGAATCTGTTTTTTGTTTGTGATAAAAGGTGCTCTTTTTTCTTTAAACATGTGTTCTAAAAGGTTTGTCTTATTTTATTTGTGATTTAATTGTTCCTTAGGTTTGGAATATCCCTGAAAAGAAAACTTCCGGCACCACTTCACGCATGCCTTTCCCTCTGCCTAGAGCACACTCCCTACCCCCACCCTCTCATAGCATCAAGTACTTCTCCTTAGTTACATTTATTACAGTTGCAGTTGTATAATTATTGAATGAATTATGTGTCTGCCTTTCTAGACTATAAACTCCTTAAGGGCGTGGACCCTGCTGGCTCTTACATATTGTATCCCTAGCACCAGACATCATGCCTTCTACATGGGAGTGCATTTTATACTGGGGGTCATTTTTCAGTATTAATTAGGAGCAAAGAAACTGTAGAAATTCTCACCCTGGTTACATCAGAGCTGGAAGAGATCTCCAAGAGCATAACAGGTGAGGAAATCTGCCCAAGGCCACTGAGGGGTTACTGACCTGTGTCCTAAGCCAATGATTTCCCCTTTGTACCATGATTCTCCTTCAAGGAGTACTTCTTAAGTAAGATAAGGCAAGAAGGACAGCTCGCTCCCAGGGAGACTTGCCTGGAAGTGTGTTAGAACACCTTGGGAAGAGGAAGGTGGCTCCTTGCCCACCACCCACCTGTGTGGAGACAGCCTGGGGGTGTCCTCCTCCCTTAGGGTGGTCCCTGGGACTCCATGTCTGTTAGATACAGAGCAGCCCCGCATCTGACAGTGAGCCGGCCTACAACGCATGCTGACACCCAGAGGTCTTTTCTTAGGCTCTTTTCAAGGGACACAGAAATACCTTTTTGTTGAAATGGTTGCAGAAATAGATCATACAACATGATTAGTGACCTCAGGTCATATTTTAGTTAATTAAATACCTAAAAAAACATTCGCTTAATTAGAAAAATCTTGTTTCAACTATTATTGAAAGTCTTCTGTTTTTACACCAGCAATAAGCCAGGTTTTATTATTATCATTATTATCATTATTATTATTGTTATTATTTTATTAAAGTTTATTGGGGTGACAATTGTTAGCAAAGTTACATAGATTTAAGGTGTATAATTCTGTAATGCGTCATCTATATATCACATTGTGTGTTCACCACCCAGAGTCAATTCTTCCATCACCATATATTTGACCCCCTTTACTCTCATCTACCACCCCCCTCCCCCCCTTACCCTCTTATTGAAAGTCTTTCAATAGCTACTGGTTTGTTTTCCTTTAACAGTTTGTTCACTGATGTAATAATAAACACCCAAACCTGTTTTGTTCCAGGTACCAGGTAAGGAGCTGCCTCTAGCCTATATAATGGGTCCATGGACTAACTACCTAGAATTACCTGGGGACAATTACTAAAAAATACAAAATCCTGGGCCGCGCCCCAATCTGTGGGTCAGACTGTCCTGGGAATCTGAGTTTGTATGGGGCTGCGGAGGCAGGTATGGGAGTCACCACTGTAGAGGATACAGGAGTGCCTGCTGCCCTCCTGACATCCTTTAGGCCCTGCTCAGGGATTCTGCCCTGTGCAGCCTCCCCTGGGAGGCACAATGCCTGGCACCTCCTAGGCATTCAGGAAATATTTGACTGAATAGCTGTCTTCATCCAGGCTGTCCTGGCTCTGCTGGCCTGGGAAAAGCTGCTACATTCACCTTGCGAAAATGCTGATGTTATCAAACTACTTCCACTCAAAACCTCCTGGCTCCTGGCTGTCATCCCAGGTTCTTCCAACATTCTAGACCTGAGACAGCTGGCTTCAGCTTCTTCGTCCAGCCTTTCCTCCCTGCGCTACAGGAAAAGCTGTCCATCTCACAGAGCTCTGCTTGCGCTGCTTCTGAGCCCTCTGTTACCTCAGTCTGTCAAGTGGAATCCCACACTTCTCAAACTCAGGTCAAGACTTTTCTCTTCCATAAGCCTTCCTTGCTGTTTATCAGGTTTGATAGACTATGCCATGAAAACTGCAAATGGCAGTGGTTTAGCAAGGTAGAGCTCTATTTCTCATCTAAATGAAGTCTGGAGGCAGGCATTCCTGGGCTGGCATAGGAGCTTCATGAAGTCGCTAGGGTCCTAGGCTCCTCCCAGCTCTGTCACCATCCCTAGGGAATGGCCCTGTCCTCATGGTCCAGGATGGCTGCTAGAGATTTAGCCATCACATCTGTGTTGCAGCAGCAGGATGGGGAACCAAAGCAGAGTACGCAGTTAAAAATAGAGGTTCAGTCAGGAAGGAGAGGAGAGCAGGTTTTGGGGTAAACAACCAGCTATTTCTGTCCCACCCCTCAGGAGCTCACACTGCGCTTTGGAGCCCCAGGAATGTCCTGGCACCAGCTGTATGTAGACTCTGAATTCATAGCTGCAGGGGACACAGACATGGGTCAGGCATAGCCCATGCCATCCAGGAACCCACGTTGCTTAGCATCACCATCATGTACATACTCTCCTGTCACAAAACTCAGTGGGTTGGGCATGAGATAGTCTTGAGGGAATGAGAGAGCATTGACTTTCAACCCCAGTTGGCTAGGTACTAGATGGGTGATTGCGGGTAACCTACCACCTCGCCTCTCAGGGCCTCAGGCCTCCTCTGTAAAATGAGGATTAAAAACCCTCCTCACACTTGGCAGTGAGGATTAAATGCCACCGTGCTGTAACTCAGCCCAGTGCTGCTGTGTTGATTGTTGTGTGTCCAGTCTCACAACACGGTTCCACTCG